TATATAATTTGTTATGTTTTAAAATTTGAATTTTTTTTAAATATTAAAAATAACTTTAAAAATAACAAATGAAATGAAAATACAAATGAAAAATAAAATATATATTACATTTTAAATCTAAATGAAAAATATATAAAAAAATTACATAAACTTAAATTGCAGAGTTTTCAATTCAGTAACATATGCTGCATAGCGATTTTAGAACTCCATTAGCAAATCTATTTATTAGATAACACTTTTTTGCAAGCTCCTCTGTCAAACTCATCACTTGTAATCTCTGGGTCTGGTGGTGCTCAGCGGTTGCCAAGGCGATGCCTCAGTTCCATCAGATGATGCGTGATCGTCTGCGTACAGCGGATCAGGGAGCCGATACGGTCGTCTGGCTCACCGTGTCACGCGCCACCACTGCATTTCCCAGCGGCCTTTTCTTCCAAGGTGTGCATGTTGGTTAGAAATGGTGACATTTGATGTCATGTGTCTAGATTTTTCCAATAGCACTCTTACAGGTTGTTTGTTTCAGATCGACAGCCGGTTTCAGCCCACTTGCCCCTGGCATGGACACACAGCTCTCGACGGGAAGTCAAAGTGTTCATGGGCCGGTTGGAGACTTTGGCGATGGCTGTCAAACCCTCAGAGTGAGATATTACACATAGAACGTGTTAGGTATTACATGTCAGATAACTAAAAATAACACTCATGTTATATGTAATAAAGAATGATATGAATATGAAGCTTTTTCTCTGTAACAACTACTGTAACTGCAAAATAATCATACAGAAACTAAAGGTAGTCTTAAAAAACAACATGAAACATGATGTATTTCTGAGTGAAATAGGATATTTAACAAGAAACAAAAGTAGACCGAGGTGTGATTTTATCCATTGCCAATGGACTGGACTGAAAAAAAAAATATTCATACAGTTTAGTTTGTAGTCAATTGTGAAAACTGCTATCTCCCTGAATCAAAGCGGCTTTGATTGTCGTTAGCCATAAAGGAAAGTCATTTCAGAGGTAGAAGTAGTTATAACATTCTATTTTATCAAAGATTCTGAAAACAAACCTTTTTGTCTTTAGAATAACACGCATTAATGAATTATGCACAATAAAAACCAGAAACATTTAAAAATAAATGGGCTCTGTTTTGATTTTATGCTGGTTTTTGTTTCCTTTTATGTTTAAATGTACGTCTGGCCACAACATGCCAATTAACCCTGTAAAGCCTCACATATGAAATCATTTTTTATGGAACAATTTATTGAACCTTTATTGCAAAAAGAAAGAAAAAAAATTTGTATGTGTTTTTGTCCAGTATCATATTTGATAAATCAGATTTTTTTTTGCTCATATAATATGCTTATATAATATGATATAGGAGAATATTCAAAGGTTTTACTCAAACTGAGCAAAAATATGCAATTTTGTGCAGTTTCTGATTTTTGACCAAAACAAATGTTATAATACATTTTCTTAGTTTGTAATGTAAATCAATGAGATCATCATCTCCATAAGAGTACAACAGACTCCTTACGTAAAATGCATATAAATATCAGTTGTCTCTCTATATCTCCCAATAATATATCTTAGTGAGATGATATTTAAATGTTTAGTTTTATTATCAAAGCTCTGTAGCTTTGATCGAATGCAATGCAATGCAATGATGATTGAGAGATGAACAAATAAAGCTCCTCAAAAACCTGATGTATCTATTTGATACTCACACTTTAACATGATTTTTTTTTTATTATCTATGGATGATCAAGTAAATCAAAGTTGATTCAGTCAAGTAAATGCTCATCTTGAAATATTACTTACAATATGAAAGCTATTCTTACGTATACTTAATAAAAACTAATTAAGGATTTCAAATAAAGACCACGACCTGAAGATGGCGTTTTTTCAAATTAAACTAAAAGGCCTTTGAAATAGGTTTTATAGGGTTAAAACTTAAACATAAATATTGCTCATAATGTATGCAACCTGCGTCATTTCCTAGTTCCATTCCTGCTCCTCTCTAAAAATGCTCATAAATAATAAAACAAAAACAATTAGGTTTTTGGCTTTGTCACGCAAAAAACGTCCTGCATGGTGACGGAAATATGCGATATAACCTCGATATGTTATGTAAAAATGAAATTAACACAACATAACTAACTAACTCCTCATAAAATGGTGGTGCTTCCTCTTAAATTGATAATAAACAGCATCCATCTGCGTCATCATTTTTCCGTGAGTATGTTTCTCTCAGCGGTCCTGTTGCCAGGACGAAATTTCCCGTGCTGTTAAATGATTCATCACACGCACTGTATGACGCATACGATGCTTTCACATTCACAAACATCAAAATGCACGATCATCTTACTACTGGACCAAGTGAGCACTGAAAGCGACATGCACCATTGTCTTCTCAGATCATCTGACTGGTGCAGTGAGAGTGTTTAGTAAGACAACAGCTGTGTGTTTGGTTGAGAAGGGTCTCTGTGTTAATGAGCGTGTGAGTCTGTCTCAGTGAATCCCAAGCACAGCCGTGCAGATCAAAGCCTGTGATTAAAGCGGTCATATATGTGTTTTTTGAACATTAAAGCATGTCAACATATTCTGTTACACCAAATACACAAAATAATTATCTTTAAAATAGCATCATATGACCGCTTTAAAGTCCACCTTCATGTTCCGTTCCTCCTGTGGTGAGAGGATTCAGAATTCATACATCTACTCAAACATGAGTGAATAAGCTGTCGCAAACTATTTTTCAATACTTGTAATCAGCTGCTCTCAAGGTGATTTTTAGCAGATGTGTGAAGTCAGTTCCCCTCAGGTTCACACAGGTGTAGTTCATCACATTAACTATGAACACAATGTGTAACAACCACACAAAGACCAAAATCTTCATTTTGAACAGTGTATCAAATGTTTTAGCATTGAAGACCTAAAAAAATGTAAACTTTTGCTTGTGCTATTGTTTGGTTTGATATCTTGATATCTACACCAATGACTTTCAAGGCTTATCAAGGCTGCATTTATTTGACCAAAAATACAGTAAAAAATAATATTGTGAAATATTGTTACAATTTTTTTTTTAAATATCATTTGTTCCTGCTGAATTTTCAGCAGCCATTACTCCAGTCTCACTTGTTTGAACTAACAAACAAATTAACATTTTTAATCAATTTAATGGATCCTTGATGAATAAATGCATTAATTAATATTATATATAATGCTAAATATATAATATCAATATTGTCTAATTAATATTATATATATATATATATATATATATAATGCCGTTCGATTTAGTGAGATGCACCTGTATATATATATATATATATATATATATATATATATATTTCAAAACAGCTACTTAAATAAAATCAAAATGTGAGTTAAATATACTGAAAAGGCAGCAGGTAGATTATGGAACTGGAATTTCTATTAATCAAACAATTATCTTGATAACCTGATAATCTAAAAATGTCATCTGATTAGTTTGCCAACATACTGGTCTATCACTGTATACACTGTTGATACAGAAGGAAATCAAGGCTGTGGATTTTGCTCCCCGCTGCCTTCGCTTTTTAGCTAACCTTTATTTCATTCATCAGGGATTCTCGGTGATGTTGTTACTTTCTTCAAAGCTGTTACCCGCTGTGCACATGTGCAGCACTCATCTGCTCTGCCCATTTCTGAAAACAATTTGATTCTGTTTGGACCAGGGCCACACATAATTCAAGCTTGGCAGTAATGGCATTTTAGTGCTTTAATAGCAAGAAATTGGAGATAGTGAGGTAGCGTCTAATTCTCCCAATCATTTGGTTGCTTTTTATTTCACATGCCTCGGGAGACACGGTCACCTGGGACAGTGAGGAACATTTGTATTTGTTTAATAAACCAGGAATGAAATTACATTGACATGTTCAGCTGTATCTCTGCGCCTTGACGTTACTATGGAAACCACAATGGCTTCTGCAAAAAAGCGGCAAATGGTTCAATATCAATGTTTTTTATTGCATTTTTTTTGTCTTATTTCCGTAGCCACGTTTTTGGCTGTTTTGTTAGGGTTTTTAATAATTCTGCCTTTTATACAGCATTGAAAAAAAAACAACAACAACAACATGTGCAGTGCATTCACATTTTCCCAAGGGATTCTTTTCATTTTGATCTCTACGAGGGTAAAACGGTGAAGAGACTGAAGCTGGATCCATTCATAGCTGAGATTCTCATGAGAGTGGGAGTGATCTAATTAAAAATAATCTACAACACAATTATGGATTTCTTATTTTGCTTCCTGATTATTTTCCCGATTGTATGGTTTATGATTTCTCGGGTTTGCTTTTCTTTTAAATGAAGTCCGCTACCCAGAGCATTGCTATTCATCTTTTGTTTAAAAGGAACTTCCCAGTCCATGCGAAAAGCAGTCCAGAATCTTTTTATTTTTCCTGTCTTTGTGTTGCTCGCTCATCTCCTTGTGCAGCCATATGATCCACTACGCGACATATGTGTAGACTTTACGATCCTCCGGAGTCCGGGCCAAATATTCTCTTTCTATAAGTCCTTCAATGCGCTTTTTAATGACCACGGGGCTCGGCAGGAACCGCGCTTTCAGCTGCTGGGTCACCTGACGGGACACAACCAGACAGACCATTAGAAATTTGCATGTAAAATTATTGAAAATTATAAACAAAATAAACATACAAAATCATGCAAAGAACACACGCTCACCTCTGCTACCAGTACATTGTGCTGCATCTTCTTCCTGGACTTCATGATGCGTACAATGGCAGCCTCGATTTCATGTTTCCTGTCATCGTCTACTTTCTGCCGCGTCTCCTTGCGCTCTGGGTCTGACTCGCCTTGCTTAGCAGCAACTGCAGGAGACGGATTCAAAGAGTTTGTAAAGCACTTTTCGAAATAAAAAAAATCTACATTTAGATCACTTCAGATTGTAAAAGTACTCAGAAAATCTCTCAATATTAAAGCCGGATTCAACTAACATTTTATAAAAACATCCTAAATCATCTTTTAAAAATAGTTTTCATTACAACACTGTTCCAGAACACTTCAACCCAAATATTCAGATGTGTGCTCCGCATTTTATGGAGGATCAGGACTGTTTCCTGAACCAGTAGCCTACAATGCGTCTGTGGCAAAAAGGCTGTTTCTATAAAGTTGGGCAGTTCCAACTTTGCAAGGACAGTCCGGCACTTCTGACTCACAGACTGTAAGTACGTTTTTTATATTTAAATAATTTGCCACCAGTGTTGGGGAGTAACTAGTTACATGTAACGGCATTACGTAATTTAATTACAAAATAAATGTAACTGTAATCAGTTACAGTTACTAAGAAAAAATGTGTAATTAAATTACAGTTACTTATGAAAATGTTAACGATTACAAAGGGGATTACA